AGGTTCCAACGGCAGGAAAGGCCGCAGGAAGGGGTTCCAGTGGAAGGAAAAGCCATCAAGGGATAGGTCCGACTGTCAGCAGGGAATAATTCTGGTGGAGGAAGGTTTGTTGCAAAGAAAATTCAAGCAATGAAATTTGAACAAAGGAGCTCATGCAAGGAGAAGTCTGGTGCTCGGAAGAACATGAAGAGCTCCAGAGGAGGGCCTGCAGATTAGCCAAAAAGGATGTGGACAGATAATTGATTGAGAGACTGCAACATAAAAAGATTCGGACAAGAGGAAGAGATCAGGCAGAGGGCTTGAAGAACTTGGAGAGGATTGGTTGTTGCTTGCTACAACTTGTTGCTTATGGGATCACGAGGATATCCTGTTGTTGCTACTATAGGGAGAGGATGCAGGCAGAAGAGGGCTTGCAGTAGGGAGGTTCAAGATTCCAAGGAGAGCGATTTTCTGGAAGGAAATCGGGAGAGCCCCTGCAACCATATAATGAGTTTTGGTTGCAGGAAAGTGAAGATTTGGTAAGGAGATCTGACAGGGCTGACTACAGGAAGATCTAGCAGGAAGGAGATCCTACTGGAAATTTCAGATCCTACTGGACCTACTGGAAATTTCAGGAGGAAGGAAACCCTGTATTAGGTATTGAAGAGGCCAATAGAAGAATCTGGGTAAGAAATAACAGCAAGGGGATCTTGCTGAAATTGTAGGAAAGTCCGTTAGAAATTGCAGAGGAAGGATCCAGCTGGTAGTTTACGGATTTGGCTAGCAGAAAGGAGAAGTTTGCCACCATAACTTCCATGTTTATCCATATTTCCTCCTTTAGTTTGGTTAATAGATTGCATGCAAGGAGGCATATGGATGCATGAATCTCCTATAGTATGCTTCTCCATCAACTCGCTCTCTGGGTCGATCCCAGAACAATCATCGTAAGGTGAAAAATAGGGCATGCGGTGAAACTCCTCCATCTAGGCCTTGACATTCTTCTGCGCGCCATATCCACGGGGAGAACTCATGGTAAGCGGGGTGGTGGAGGAAAACATGTCGAGTTTAAAATCCCAGTACGAAGGAGTTGAAAAGGAGTTTGTGTGGCGAAGCTGAAGGGTAGAGATAGCAAAATCGGAGGGTCAATCTACGAGAGCGAGGCAGTGTTGGCCGCCTCTAGAACTTCTTATGAATCAAGAGGCTAAGAATCTCATGCAGAACCTCTAAAGGCAATTGGGAATAACATGTTTTCTTGCTTGTTCATCTTCCCCACAATAACAATAAACTAGTGGAATACATAAGCAACGTAAAAAAACTGCAACTTGTGACGCATTCAAAATGCTGAAAAAGTTGGGCAATAAAATGGTCTTCTGCAGCTCCGCTAGAAGCAATCAGCTTAAACAGAGGCCTTAGCCACTGTAAAATCCAATTCTCCACTTCCAAGGGAAGTTAAAAAATTTCGCAATAGAAGGAGGTCCGAAGTTCAGAATTTCTATAGCAGAAGGAGTTGAAGACTCGCAAGAAGTAGTCGGAGGCAGACTTGATGGAAGCAGTTGAAGGAGGAAGAAGCAGTCTAAAATGTTGTCAGTCGTACTATGATAAAAAAATGAAATCCCTAGAAGAGGTGTGACAGAAATAGATTTCTTTATTGCAATACAACCTTTCAGTTGCAAGCAAAACCATAACTGTCGATAACTGTGACGAACGGACCTCCGACGCATCATCGAAAGACCAATGTTTGGATGACCGCTGCAACAAAAACAAGTCCGAGAGCGCTGCTTGGTTTGCTTCGCAGGAAACAGACGGAGATGTCAGTGCAGAGATAAATGTGATTGCTGCTTGATGAAAGAATTCAGACGGAGAACCGAGGTTTTCGGGGATGATGCGAAGTTCTTAGCGGAGGTTAAGTCTGAGAAGGAAGAAGCATATCTGGATTTGAAGAACGAGCTGAATCTCCCCCTCGTCGCGAAGGATGGCGGCAAGCATGCGACCGAACTCATCGTCGCCGAGTTTGGACAATCGAATGATGAAGAAGTCCTTGA